CAGCGGTATTCACACCCTTGTGAGTCAGAACCCCAACAGCTACCCCATCCTGCTCTCTCACCAAGTCCCAGTTCATGTGACGGGGAACGGAAGCACATTGGTAGTAGGAGATGGGAAACATCCTGTGCATGTCAGGGAGGAAGAAGCGACGATCACCGATCTGCCTAAGCCATTTGTAGTGACCGCCGTGCATGATCCCTTTTGAAATACTGACACGATCTCCAAATAAGAAAGCTGGCTTGGTGAGTTTCTTGCGAGACCCAGTCTCAAACTTAGCGTCCGTAACTAAAACTCTGAGTACATCAGTATTTGGATCTGAGATCAGAGTGACGCGATCTTTGTCGGTGTCCTGGAATATTGGAAGTTCTTGACGCAGATTGAATTGCATATTAGAGTCCACACCTCCCTCATGCCCGAAGTGGTGACGAAGATTGAGAGGTTCACGGGTGTAAGGCACTGCAAAAGAAAGAAATATTCAATCAGTCAAGTGAAGGGAGCTTTAGCTAAGTCCATAAGAAAGAATTTTATCAAACGCACAGTTCAGATCTGGCGTTTAAAGTTCATCAACGCAAAGGTCGAACTCTGCGTTAAAGTTTCGAACGCACAGTTCAGATCTGGCGTTTAAAGTTCATCAACGCAAAGGTCGAACTCTGCGTTAAAGTTTCGAACGCACAGTTCAGATCTGGCGTTTAAAGTTCATCAACGCAAAGGTCGAACTCTGCGTTAAAGTTTCGAACGCACAGTTCAGATCTGGCGTTTAAAGTTCATTAACGCAAAGGTCGAACTCTGCGTTAAAGTTTCGAACGCACAGTTCAGATCTGGCGTTTAAAGTTCATTAACGCAAAGGTCGAACTCTGCGTTAAAGTTTCGAACGCACAGTTCAGATCTGGCGTTTAAAGTTCATCAACGCAAAGGTCGAACTCTGCGTTAAAGTTTCGAACGCACAGTTCAGATCTGGCGTTTAAAGTTCATCAACGCAAAGGTCGAACTCTGCGTTAAAGTTTCGAACGCACAGTTCAGATCTGGCGTTTAAAGTTCATCAACGCAAAGGTCGAACTCTGCGTTAAAGTTTCGAACGCACAGTTCAGATCTGGCGTTTAAAGTTCATTAACGCAAAGGTCGAACTCTGCGTTAAAGTTTCGAACGCACAGTTCAGATCTGGCGTTTAAAGTTCATCAACGCAAAGGTCGAACTCTGCGTTAAAGTTTCGAACGCACAGTTCAGATCTGGCGTTTAAAGTTCATCAACGCAAAGGTCGAACTCTGCGTTAAAGTTTCGAACGCACAGTTCAGATCTGGCGTTTAAAGTTCATTAACGCAAAGGTCGAACTCTGCGTTAAAGTTTCGAACGCACAGTTCAGATCTGGCGTTTAAAGTTCATCAACGCAAAGGTCGAACTCTGCGTTAAAGTTTCGAACGCACAGTTCAGATCTGGCGTTTAAAGTTCATCAACGCAAAGGTCGAACTCTGCGTTAAAGTTTCGAACGCACAGTTCAGATCTGGCGTTTAAAGTTCATCAACGCAAAGGTCGAACTCTGCGTTAAAGTTTCGAACGCACAGTTCAGATCTGGCGTTTAAAGTTCATCAACGCAAAGGTCGAACTCTGCGTTAAAGTTTCGAACGCACAGTTCAGATCTGGCGTTTAAAGTTCATCAACGCAAAGGTCGAACTCTGCGTTAAAGTTTCGAACGCACAGTTCAGATCTGGCGTTTAAAGTTCATCAACGCAAAGGTCGAACTCTGCGTTAAAGTTTCGAACGCACAGTTCAGATCTGGCGTTTAAAGTTCATCAACGCAAAGGTCGAACTCTGCGTTAAAGTTTCGAACGCACAGTTCAGATCTGGCGTTTAAAGTTCATCAACGCAAAGGTCGAACTCTGCGTTAAAGTTTCGAACGCACAGTTCAGATCTGGCGTTTAAAGTTCATCAACGCAAAGGTCGAACTCTGCGTTAAAGTTTCGAACGCACAGTTCAGATCTGGCGTTTAAAGTTCATCAACGCAAAGGTCGAACTCTGCGTTAAAGTTTCGAACGCACAGTTCAGATCTGGCGTTTAAAGTTCATCAACGCAAAGGTCGAACTCTGCGTTAAAGTTTCGAACGCACAGTTCAGATCTGGCGTTTAAAGTTCATCAACGCAAAGGTCGAACTCTGCGTTAAAGTTTCGAACGCACAGTTCAGATCTGGCGTTTAAAGTTCATCAACGCAAAGGTCGAACTCTGCGTTAAAGTTTCGAACGCACAGTTCAGATCTGGCGTTTAAAGTTCATCAACGCAAAGGTCGAACTCTGCGTTAAAGTTTCGAACGCACAGTTCAGATCTGGCGTTTAAAGTTCATCAACGCAAAGGTCGAACTCTGCGTTAAAGTTTCGAACGCACAGTTCAGATCTGGCGTTTAAAGTTCATCAACGCAAAGGTCGAACTCTGCGTTAAAGTTTCGAACGCACAGTTCAGATCTGGCGTTTAAAACGCTCACCTAAGTTGAACGCGAGGTTCACCTTAGAACGAATGCGAGGTTCGTTAAAAATTGAGCTTGACGCTCACCTGAGTTGAACGCGAGGTTCACCTTAGAACGAACGCGAGGTTCGTTGAGCGCGAAGCTCGGTTAAAATTGAACGAACGCGAAGTTCGTTTGAGGTAACCACCTCCTTAATTTTCGCCATGAACCCTTAGGGTTTCAAACTGAAACCGCCGCCGTCAAACCAAAAAATCTTTGATTTTGATTTTCAAAACAGATCCAGAATTGGAAAAATTTGAAGAAAAAATCAAAGAAAAATCCAAAAAATTCCAAAAAGTTACTGTTCACCCGAAAAATACTTCACTGCTCATCCGAAAAAAATACTTCACTGTTCATCCGAAAAAAAATTCGTTACTGTTTACCGAACATTACTGTTCATCCGAGAACAAAATATTAAATCTTTAACTAGAGATTTAAGATCAAAAAACCCAATAAAACTTAAATCCCTAAGAATTAATCAAGGTGGCTCTGATACCATTTGTTAGATCTACATCATAAAACTTGAGATCTAAAACCATATAACCATGATTAATTCAAAGAGATTAACAAGGATCTAAAAGAGCGGAAGCTTATACCTGAATCCATTGCTTGATCTTGATTTTGGGTTTTGGATCTTCTAACCTTAGGGTTCTCTCTAAAACCGAATTTCTCTAGCTAGATGGGGGTGTAGAGAATTAGAGAATGTAACCCTAGGTTAGGGACCATAACCCCTTATTTATAGATGTTGTACTTTTGTAATTTAGCCCCTCAATAAATCACAATTACAACCTGGTATCTGCACATATAACCCCATGACTTATTTAAATACCAAATTAACCCAACTTAATTGATCACTTTAGTGGGTTATCCTGAAAGATAGCAATACACATTGATTAATCATATGTGCCCACAAATAGATTTATTAGATTAAATCCAACAATAGCTCATAATGCAAGGCAGGGCAGGGATGAATTCAATTGTTTAAGGTGTAATGTGAGGGTGAAGGAGTTACGAGAATAATTATGGACAAATTTGATAGTCTATAAGGGGTAAATAGAGACTAAAGTCTTTGATATCTTTTTCAATTAGTACTGAGGATGATACGAAGGAAAGGACTTTTTGGAGGATGTAGAGAATCCTTGCCGGCAAATGTAGCATGTGTTAGTTATCCTGAATTCCCTCCTCAGTGTTTCGAGGACAACTGTAATCCCATCATCATTCATCGAATTTGATTGGTTTCACCGTCGAACGTGTGGACTTAATTTGATCGCGTTAGCTTGGTCCGATTTCTGTTAAGCAGTCAGTGAGCCCAACTAATGCAGTGGAATTCTTTTTGGCGGTTCGATATATATATATATATATATATTATTAACTGTTAGCTGTTTTTAATAATTAGAATTTCAACATATACGATGCGAGGCCTAAACAACTCTGTAACACAATGAAGTTATGGATTGTACTCCTAGGGAGTCCTGCATGGCAAGATCCAAGCAACAGAATAAGAAGTGGAAAATGACGATGTTTAGAAGGAGTCGACATAGCTAGTCTTTTAATCATGACGTTTCGTCGGCAAAAGCCTCTCCGATACATAACTCATAGAATTATACATGAAAGGAACAGTCTATCATGTCTAAACCTTTGATGAACGCGAGAGAAGAGTCATCTATTTTCCGAAGGATCGATATCTCTTCAAAAAGCATAGAAATTGTGGCGTTCTTGGGCCTAGAATACGTTGGGCTTTTGGCCTTTAACAAAGAAAGAAAAAAAACTATCCGAAGGCCCCCACAAAGGATGCAAGAAATTGTAATTAAAATTCTTGTAAGAGCTAAAATCTTGATTGTCTCACTTAGCCGCTTTGAATTATGCAAGCAATAGCTCTAGCTTGTGTGTTGATAAATTCTAATGTCCCGTCGAATTCAGAAGAAACAGGCCCGCTACAGCTAGGATCTGGGCTATTGCCCAGCTTGTACCAAGCCCAAAGAAATGGCCTGGGCTTAGTTCATGATTTAAATGTATTTCAGCAAAGTGCCCACGCTCCGCCCATACGTCGAAGTTAGACAAAATGATTTGTAATGTGGTTATTATAAATAAATAAAAATTATAAACAAGTTCATGTTTAGATTGTAACTCAATCTTCATTTTCAATAATCTGATCCCCATTTTCACGGTATAAAATGTCTCATTAATCAAGCGGTTTCCAAGACCATATTGATTTTATCTCGTGACGTAATCTCATGCATTGAATTCGAAATGTACGATAATGATTGAACGAATCGGAGACTCTCCAATTCCTATCTAATTGGAGTGGATCCGGATCCCAATTCTTAAATTCTGGTATCGTTTGCTTCTAGATTTTACAAATTAGTTTTAAGCAACTTGTCAGAAACTGGGACCCTAATAGCAGCACCAAAGATGCAAGAGACTGATTTCAAAACAACTTATAAGAATTGAACAACCTAACATCAATTTTCATGATTTTGAGGATTAAATATAAAATATTAAAGACATAATGGACGTATATCCAAAAAAACCCCAAATAAAAAGACAGACAACAACTAACTTCTGAAAAATATCTCTGAATATCCAGCAATGATCCGATACAGCCACAACTCACTTGTGGATTACTCTCTTGCAATTTACAACGACCCCCCCTCTCTTCATCTACTCCATCACCACCCACCACCATCATCGTCGTCATTTCCCATCTCTCTCTCTCTCAGGCTGACTACAATAGCCCGCTTTCTCTCTCTAGACCCCCCTCTCTCTCCTCCCCCGCATCACAAGCCCCATCCCTCCACCTCCCGTCCTTCCTCCCCTTCCCCTCCCCCTCACCTCCCGCCCCGCCGGCGCCGCCGCCCAATCCCGCCCCCGTCTCCTCCTCCCTCCCTGCCTCCTCCGGCCGCCGGCCACCGGCTCCCACCCCAGAAACCTCCCCCGCCCGCCGTCCGACCGCAACGTCAACGAAGCGTCAACACAAGCGCAAGAGTTCACCGGCCGCCCCTCGCCGCGCCTAAGAACAGGCTCTCGTCGTCGTCGAGTTCGCCACCACCCAGAACGAGCGAGCAAGAAATCTAACCCCCCTACATGGTCCAGCTCAGCCGCCGTACGTTGCGCCCCGAACGTCGACTTCCTCCTCGTCATGGGCCGACGAGTCGACGAGACTCCGCCGGCTCTGCCGCCGCGAGAAGATCGCAGGATCGCCCCACTTCAGCCTTCTAACAAAGTCCATGGCAGAAGATCCACGAGGAGGACGCTATTGGGCCGGACCAGCTGATGGGCGACGTCCTCTACTACGGGGACCACCACTCCCTAGTGGCCCAGCTGCACTCCAGGGAGGACGTTGAGGCCCAAATCGAGCGGAGCAAAGAAGACGGGAATCTGTTGGTCTTGGACGTGGGCCTTAAGCACTGTGGGCCTTGCGTTAAGGTCTATCCGACGGTCATAAAGCTGTCGAGGTCCATGAAGGACAGCGTGGCCTTCGCCAGGATGAACGGGGACGAGAACGAGAGCTGCATGGAGTTTCTGAGGGACATGGACGTGGTCGAGGTCCCCACGTTTCTGTTTATAAGGGACGGGGAGATCTGTGGGAGGTACGTTGGGAGCGGGAAGGGGGAGCTCATTGGGGAGATACTTAGATACCAAGGGGTTAGGGTTACCTATTAAAGTCTCGGGTGGTATCTTTAAATTTTCCAATGTTTGTACCGTTAGAATTAATATAAAACTATAATCCTTGATCCTCCACGTAACTTCGGAGTTTTAGTGTAATGATTAGATGAACTAAATTTAAGATGGTATCAGAGCAACCCAGATTCAAATCCCACCGGTCACGAATTAAATGCGGATTTTCTAAAATTTGACACCGCTACGTGAGTACAGATTTCGACCCGCTCTCATTTTGGTTGATTTTTTATTGTGTTTGTGTTACTCTCGTATTTTCGTCGAAATATTTGTACGACGTCGCAAGTTTGGTCGGTATTTAATTAGACCCAGCTCACCAATAGGACGATTTAACTAGAGACGTACTCTACATTTAAGTAAATTTAAACGAGTCGGAGGTGCATCAAGACCCAATTCGTGGGCAGCTAATATTTCGACGAGAAACCGTTATTTTTTGCCGGGAAAATTACTCCTACCCCCTGGCCATCCCTCAAAATTATTAATCTATACCTAATCTATCATAATATGACAAAAGAAAGGGCATTTATATATGTGAAATTAGTCTTTTAAAAAGCTTATTCTTTTCTATCAACATTCTATCTATGGTTTTGGGTAAGTTTGGGGGTTGAGGTGGAGCCTTTGAAGAGGAGAACTTGTGGAGGAAAATGAGACAAAGAGTTGGGAAGGAAAGGGTGAGAACATGCAGCGGAGGCCATTCATAATTATGGATTAGGGGAAAAGTCAACAGAGAAGATGAGGAGTTGACGATGGAGTGTGCACAAGGGAAAATGAAGATTTTTTAAAGGGTTAATTCCATATAAGAGGAATTTGTTTTAGCAAAAAATAACAATTTCTTTCTGTAAAATTAGCCGCTGATAAATATTTAGGTCTTGTTTACACGTTTGACTCAGTAATTTAAAATGCATTAGTACTGTATATATAGTTGCCTATTTAAAACGTCCTATTGATAAAAATGGTCTAATTAAAATACTAATATGGTAATTTAACCCTAGTTTAGTTATTAGTTTAGTCATGTCCACTTACAATAACGTTTATAACAATTTTGATACGCAAGGTTCTTCTCATGACTTACTTTATGAGAAAGCACATAGTTAGATGGAATGGTTGCTGTATAACAGTTTTGTTAATTTACTTATTAAGTAATATCTCCTGTTTAAGACTTGAATTGAATTTTTTTTTTCAAAAATGAAGAAAACAAAATAAATGATATTTACTTTCAATTTTCGATTTTATAATGGTCCATTTATATATGCATTTCTAGATATCACTTTTGCGTAATGCTCATCATACCCAGATTACTTATTAAGAACTCAAATCATACGTGGAAAGTCCAAATTTCTTTCATCCAATTTACCTTAAAATTGATCAATACTTCTCATAAAAAACTTTAAATGGTTGAAAATGTTTTTGGTGCAAAAGTGAGAATGACTTTTTTTGTTAGTTAATTCAGATTGAATCACAATCTTAGTAGTTTCCCTTTTGTTTTTCAAGCAACTTATAAAAATGCTAATTAGGTGTGTCTAATTGGGCCCGGTTTCTGAACTTGACCCGGCCGGGCTAACCCCAGCACGGACCCAGGAAAAGCCCAGGTTTTCGGGCCAAACCAGGCTTCGGCCCAGGTTCGGTTTGCCTCGGCGAACCCGCACCGGGACCGGCCCGGCCAAAAAAATCCTGAGGAATCAACATTTATTCTGTACATTAAGTTGTATACAAACATTCGGATCTTTATTTTAGAAACTACAGAAAAAGTCAGATCACATCGTCTCATCAGATAACTGGCCCTGTGATGATGACAAGACCTTCATGCACAGATTTTTCATAGCATGCAGAGCGAACCACATATATATAAACTAAATTAATCCAGATAATAGGATATAAACTAAAAACGACTTTACATATGCGTAGGTTATTGTTGTTCCTAGAATATGATTTATGTGGAAATGCATAGGGGCAGGGCCCAAAATTGAACACCTGTAAAATTAATTGCATCTACGGAGTAATGTGATTGATGACTTAAGCTTTATAAGAAAGACAAATGTGGTCATATGAACGCACACAAAAGAGAAGAACAAAAAACATAGATAGAAAGAAAAAAATAGTTTTAGAGATCTTGTCGATCTCAGACGTGTATTGATAGTTAGGGGCTGTTTGGTTGCTTTCCTTCATTTTCCGAATACTATTTTCCTTTACTTTATTATGTTTCCTTCACTTTCATGGAAAGTGTTTCTTGTGTTTGTTTCGCCAAAAAATATGTGGGTGAAAATACTTTCCACCACTTTTCTTAGTTTGGTTCAACTTGAAAAAAGAAAAGAAAACAATTAACGTGTGAATAGACTATGGTCACCATGGTATGCTTACCACCCGTATAGGATAAATTTATTTATGTGAATTTGAGAATTTGAGAACCACAAATTGTTGCATTAAGAATTCATGGAATCTTTTCTCCTGATTTCTTCCGTAATTAACCGGCTCAATGATTCAAGTCATTAAGTAAAATAAAAAAAACTTAAAAAAACATGCCCGAATTATAATCAGATTTCTAATTTAATTCGCAAAAGTCCCGACGACCCATGAGCCAGAATTATAAACAGGTATGAATCTTCATCCATCACAGCAACAAAAGAGAGAAGTTCTATCAAATTAAGCATCGATTGAACAATACATCAAGTACCCACTGATCAATTAGCTCCTCAACAAAACACCAAAGAAACATCAAAATCGGAACTTGACAATAAAATCAAGAGACATAACTTTCTTTTACTATCCCCCGTAATCGGGCTCAAAAGAGGGGGAAATTTTCGGGAGAAAAATCACCGAACTTTCCTTCACTTTCCTTTTTATTTTTTGCCAACTAAACATATGATTGTGAAAGAAAATGTAAAATTTTCTTGTGTCAGTTTTCTTTGGGGGGCTCTTTCTGCAATTTTCCACTCCTGCGACGGTGGTTCTGATGGAATCCCTTTTGAAATTTTAAGGGCTAATTTGTAAATTTTAAAAAACAGGTGCTAATATCAAAATTATTCCGGGGTCGGTTACCCGAACTATTTCCTCTTCGTTGTCCGCGACCCATTCGTTCAGCGTTCACTGATGAGCTCTAGCATCACCTCCGACATCAAAACTCAAAAGGTAATCTAAATTTCTTTCCCCCACTTCTCTTGAATTTTAATTTAGTTTTCATGAAATGAGGTTAGCACTAGAAAAAAGGGGGCCAATTGTTCTAGGGTTCTGAAAACCCAAAATTTGATAGGCTTTATCTATTTGTTTTCGTGGGTGACTTATTAATTGTGCGATAGATTCATGAAAATTTTGTAATTTGTATATTATTAGGAGTACCATTGAAATCTGTATGTTATGGGTTTTGTGTTTACTCAGTCATTTTATCGAGCATCTTTAGGTCATCAATACAACGTGGGCTTTTTTTTCCCCTTCCCGATCGAGTTTTGTTATATAGCGTAGGCGTCTAAAAATGCCTATGGGTGCCCGCACATAGCTCAAGACAAAGAGAAGGTGATGAACGTCGTTATCCGAATCAAAGAGGATTATCCAACGCCGACAAGCGCATGAAGCGAATCGGCAAACTGTTGATAACACGACAACGAACCACCACAATGGAAAACGCCAAGTGGACCGCACGCGTCAATCAACATGCGTGCGTCAATCAACACGTGTGTGTCAATCAACACGCGTTCGACGGTCAATTCCGCAACGAAGCGTACAAGTCAACAAGACGATCAATTACGCAAACCAGTTCACGATGGCGTCAATCAACATACATTAATCAACTCGCGTGGAGCATACAAGTCAACACGACGGATGAGTAAACAAAACGGGAGAAACTACAAATCCCGGAAGATCGGAAAAGTCGTAAAACACAAGAAATCAGTGTAACAAAAAAAATCTCAGCGCGCCGCGCGGGACGGACCAAACCGACCCGCGCCCGTGCGGGTCGGAATGATCCGACCCGCGCCGGCGCGGGTCGGAATCAACCGACCCGCGCCGGCGCGGGTCGGCCAAGAAACGTGGTTAGGCTGCTGTCGACTGAAGATAGAGCCAAATCACTTGTTCTCATCCAAATAACCACTTCCGAAGCTTATAAATACGAGCTCGGGTGTTCATTTCTCAAGGGCAGAGTTATTATCAAGACGTGGATGTGCTGCTGGATTGAGGAGTCAAGGAGCACGAATTTCAGCGAAGGCAAATCAGATCCCGGCGAACTTCGGCATAAAGAAGGAGCTATTCGAAGGATCTGAACCCCGTTCGTCCGTCCCTTGAGATTAGGCTTGGTCTTAATCTCGAGAAGAGCCCTGATTTCGCTTGGTCGATTTCAGCGCTTCAAATCAAATACTTCCTCGGCGAAGGCGAAGCTCTGCCAAATTTTTCATCAACCGGATCCAGATCTAAGGCGGTCCACGGATAAACCCCGGCACATGCAAAGATCCCACGCAAAGCAGCGGGTGATAAACGTCCTCTGCGTTTGTTTTGACGAGAGTTGTAAACTTTTGTTTTCATTGTGTAAAAGTCTTATAAAAAGACAATCTTTTTTTGTTTTCATTGTAACGATTGAAGTTGTAATGAATACCGCAATGAATACATCAATTTTCGACGCAAACAAACTGGCGACCACAGTGGGAGCCAACAGCTTCGCTTCCGGAGCTGTCGTGTCGCAACCTCGGATCTGCATCCCGGTTGAAGAAGTGGTCGAATACGAGTTCGACCAACTGAAGTTCGAGGAATATCTGTCGTCTTCCTCCTCCAGATCCTCCGCCTCTCGCAAGCGAAGGAAGATCAACGCCCCCGTTGTTGCGGTAGCTGAACCTTACAACGCCCTTCCGGCCTCCAATGAGTCCGGATCTGCAGATCGCCACCCCTCCTCAATCAAGGAGTTGAGTACAGAAGGCGCACCCACTTTATCGAAGAGAGCTCGCCAAAGGCAGCGCCAACGCCTTGCGCGCCAACTCGCTAGGGCTTTGGAGTCAATTGACGGGATCCGTTACGAGACGGATCTAAAAATTAGGCAACGTCAAGCGCCCCAACAGCGGACAAATGCCCTCTCCTCCAAATCACCAACAAGTGAATGGGTACAAGTCAAAAGGACCCGTTCAACTCTTGAAGAGCGGATCAAAAAGCGTCGCGTACTGCTTGCGCGCGCGAATTCTTGCGCAAGAGGTCAAAAGATTGCAGAGGGAAGAAGTGGAAAAGAAGCCACCAAAACTGCACAAAGTTTGGAGGCCAAAGTCCAAGACGGCGGCCGAAAAGATCGAAAAATGCGGGTCACTCAAATCCGACCCGCCGGTCTGCGGGTCACTCAAATCCGACCCGCCGAATCGCGGGTCACTCAAATCCGACCCGCCAATCTGCAGGTCACCCAAATCCGATCCGCCAATCTGCAGGTCGCCCAAATCCGACCCTCCAAATCGCGGGTCACTTGGGTCCGACCCTCCAATCTGCAGGTCACCAAAATCCGACCCGCCAATCTGCAGGTCGCCCAAATCCGACCCTCCAAATCGCGGGTCACTTGGGTCCGACCCTCCAATCTGCAGGTCACCAAAATCCGACCCGCCAATCTGCAGGTCGCCCAAATCCGACCCTCCAAATCGCGGGTCACTTGGGTCTGACCCTCCACTTTGCGGGTCACCCAAATGAGCACCAGGACAGTGTGGACTTGTCCCATTGCAAGGTGAGGATAGTCGATCGTCTGGGTCCTTTGCACGAGGATCGAGGCAAAGTTCTGATCGAAGAATGCTTGGGTCCGGTGACTGAACCCCGAGCGATTCGTCGAGCTGGGGGTCGCACACGCCCTCGTAATAATTTTAAGCCTTCTCATAAAGGGAAAACTTCAATTTCTACCCGCCTGGGGGTGTTTATCCAAAACCAAGAGCCTGTTGAGATCCTGCGCTCCCAAAAGCGTAGTTCTAAACACGTGACTCTTAAGAATGCTAATAAAGTGGCAAATCCCCTGAAAGAAACGTATTCATCTGACGATGACAACGTTATACCAGGGGAGTCATGCCAATACACGATAGGTGCTCCGACGGCAACGTCGATGAGTTGTACTATCGGGCTGGGGGTATGAACAAGTCTCGGAAGAGAAGTACCCGGGAATTGGAGTCTCACTGCCCGTGCGTTAAGATAATCAGGATAGTATTATCAGAATGTAGTTGCCCCAAGACCGCTCTGCAGAGGGTCTCGGTATTTGAGAGGATCTCCAACGGAATAGCTAGGTCCAAACCAAAGCGTCTCCGTAAGAAGCGATCGACTGTTCATGATAACGAACTTCCAAAAGTCACAATTAACATGGCTGATAAGGGAAAGTCGATTCGACCTTCTAGTTCTGACCCTCTCGTATCGCACCGTCTAACCCGGTTGCGATCGGGAACTATTAGACAAAGGGATTATCAGAGAATGCAGAGAGGGTTATCCTCGGATGATGAAGCATCGGACGCTAACTCGGCAATCGTTTCTGATAATACGGTATCCAGTCCGGGACAATCCCGTAAAGTGTTCATGATCAATACCGAGCAAATCGCCAAAATTCTTGAGGATGCTCTAACCAAACAGAAAGAGGCATTCAAGATTGAAATGGAAATGACTATGCTACGGATAAGGGAAGAGCATGACCAACAAATTCGGGCTCTATCCAATCAGTTCGGTGAATCTAGCCATCGCAACCGTACTGATCAAGCAGGCAGCGATTCAGATGTGGATGCACGTCTCAATGCTGATGACCAACGTCGCAATGCTGATGACCCTCCCGTTGACCAAAACACTGGGGGTGGCCTCACTAAAGACGACAACGCTGGGGGTGGCCCCATTATTCCTCTTAAGAATCGTCCAAAGCCCGATACGAGCAAGGATGAGAAAATAAAAGATCTCGAGAGTAAAATCAACGCTCTAATGTCTGATCGAGAGGTAAAAAGGACTGGCATTCCATGTCCATATCCAAGAGAGTGGGATGCAATAGCATACCCGGCGAAGTTCAACTTGATTAACTTCACGCCGTTTGACGGGAAGGGTTCGTCCACACAACATCTGATCTACTTTAAGTCCCACTTGGGCATGATCTCCGGCAATGAAGCCTTGATGGTTCGGTCATTCGTTGGTACCCTTCGCGGGCCGGCCTTCGATTGGTACCGCCGTCTCAAGCCCGGAAGTATTAACAACTGGGACGATATGGAGAACTCATTCCTTGGTAACTTCTTTGATGACGACGACGAGGTATCCATCAGGACACTTTTCGATGAGAAACAAGAAGATGACGAGACAGTCGAGACTTCGTCAAGCGCTTTCGGAATAAAGCAATGAACTGTCGAGATCTGATCACGGAGGACTTTATCCTCCAGACATGTCATAACAACCTATCTATTGAGATATTAGAAGTTATGGGAGTCGCACCGTCCAATACTTGGAAAGAGTTGAAGATGCGCGGAGAGCGGGCCGAACGCTTCATCCGAAGGAAGAAAGCCGAGAGGAGCCAACCGACGGCGAATCTTCCGAACTTAAACTTCGCCTCCCGTGGTAAAGGAAAGGCACATGTAGCAATTGTAGACGTTAATCAGACATCGCAACAACAACTCCGAAGGCAGCAAAAGACTTCGGATCCGAGACTCCAAAAAGAGTACTCCTTCAAGGACGAAGATGTTCCGGCTATTTTCGAGTCTCTCCTTGAAAATAACAAGATCAAGCTACCACCTATCCCAGATCAGGAGGAAGCTGATAATACTGCGGATCCGAAGTACTGTGCGTACCACAGGAGGATCCTTCATCCTACCAAGGCTTGCTTCGCTCTTAAGAATAGCATCCAAACCTTGGTTGAAGCCGGCGTTATATCGCTCAATTGAGCCGAATGAACACTCCGACAAGTATAAGAGTATAAACTGCTCCTTCTCACACTCCAAAGAGTATATGAGTATAAACTGCTTCTCGGTCATCCAACTAAGTACAATGTTAAACCCGGTTTCGCAAAGGAAGCTGGGGGTGGATGATTTATGTAACGGGAAGTTCCTGGAGAATCTTATATTCTTAAGGATAACCCGAACATGCGACTGAGGATAACGTACTCCTCCTCTCGATTCCTTCCATGAACGAGAGGTCCACTTTCAAATTGAACGATCAAGCCTGTAAAAGGTAAGATCATCTCAAACCTCCCACTTTCACTGCTTCCTTGGTCAAACCTATAAAAGTTAGGGCCACAACCAGATTCTCCTCTCGATTCCTTTCATGAACGAGAGGTCCACTTTCAATTGAGCAATCAAACCTATAAAAGTTAGGATTGTCTCCAACTTTACTTAGTCAAACCTGCAGATAGTTAGGACTAAGATTGAGTTATCCTTTTCGATAAACGAAAGACTTCCATCTTTTCCTTTTTCCACCAAACCTATAAAAGTTAGGGTCGAAATTGGGCTTTCTCCTCAATAAATGAGGGACTCTTTTTGGATCGAATGACCAATCCTATAAAAGTTAGGGTCGTTTGAATCTTTCTGATTCTCGGAGTGGAGATCCCACTCTTAGTTTCATCTTTTCGGATTCTGGGGGTGGAGATCCCACCTTGAGTTTTCTTTCCAACTGGAGATAGAATATAAAATTCTTCCTCTTCAGTGCAGGGAGATAGAATAAATAATTCTTCTTCTTCCATTTTCCAGTCTGTCTTTACTCTGAGAAAAGACATAATTCCCAACTTCCAATCCGTGCACTTTGTGCACGGGAAATTTTATCTCAACTCCTAAATAGAGATAAGCCTACGCCTAACACGCGTTGCCGGTTTAGTCTTTCACCGATTGAAAAAGACAACAGAATCCAGTCTGGGGCATTTTATCCCGAAGCCTAAGTAGGGATAAGTCAACGCTTAACCCGCGTTGCTGGGTGGTTTGTTCCCGTAAAAACGACCGAGTCTACGTATTCAGCATCGTAGCAACAAAAATCCATGCCTTTTATGCATGGGGAATTTTATCCCAAATCCTGAGTAGGGATAAGTCAACACCTAACACGTGTTGCTGGTTTAGTCTTTCACCGATTGAAAAAGACACCAGAGTATAATTCTAGGGACTTTCATCCTGAATCCTAAGTAGGGATGAGTCAACGCCTAATACGCGTTGCCGGATGCCATATTCCCGTAAGAAATGGCGAAGTCTATGTATTCAAAATCATAGCATTAAGTCTAAGAGAAGCAATTCTCTTAGCACAACGTTACATGTGAAACGGGTTTTAATAATTCACATGCTAGCCCGATTCAAACGGTAATCGGTAAAGGCATATCAAACCCGTTGATGGCTGGGGGTTTGCCAAAAATCCTAAAGTCTATGTCTAACACGCATTGCCAGTTAGTTTTTTGCCATGAAAAGGACAAAAGCCCACATATTCAACATTGTGGCAGACCGTTACTAATAACGCCAAAATCTGCGCCTCACACGCGCGGGGAATTTTATCCCGAAGCCTAAGTAGGGATAGGCCAGCGTCTAACACACGTTGTCGGGTAGCCTATTCCCGTAACAATGGCGAAGTCTACGTATTCAATATCGTAGCATCGAGTCTAAGGGAGTTCATTCCTTTAGCACAACGTCACATGCGGAACGGACTTAAACAATCCGCATGCAAGCCCGATTCAAACGGTAATCGGTAAAGACACGCCAAATCCGTTGAAGGCTGAGGGTTTGTCAAAAACCTTAAAGTCTACGTCTAATACACATAGCTGTTTAGTCTTTTCACAGGAGAAAGACGAAGTCTACGTATTCAATATCGTAGCACTAAAAGAGTTAACTCTTTTAGCATAACGTTACATGCAGAACAGACTTAAACAATCCGCATGCTAGCCCGACTCAAACGGTAGTCGGTAAAGGCTTATCAAACCCGTTGATGGCTGAGAATTTGCCAAAAATTCTATAAATGCGAGTCATTGACGCATCAACTCCACTAGTTGGTCTCGTGACTTGAGCACCCAACAAATTCAGGATAAAATCCACACATGCAGATGAATCAACTTTAACAGTTGGTCCTGCAACCCCAACATTCGGGACCGCGATGCTCCAATACCTTAAGAGCTTAAACTGTGTAGACTCCAGCAAACGTACGAGTATAAACTGTGTTAATGGCGATCCGTAAACCCTAGGGTCAACGCCGGTCAACGCGTAACCCTAGGTCAACGCCTATCAATGCGTTGCAATGAAAGAATCAATACTCCGAAAAGTATACGAGTATAAACTGCTTCTTAAATACTCCAATAAGGTATATGAGTATAAACTATTCCCTATTTTTGGTTTGAGAAGTTCCTGGAGAATATTGTTTATAAATATTCTTAAGGATAACTCAACCACACTACGCCGGACAACGCGTTGTGCATAAAGACTCGACGCCACAATCAATGGTCAGCTCAAAGGAATCGACTTCAAGTTCAGAAAATTCCGACAAACGGTCAGACAATAAATGCAGCACCGGAACTCTTACAGACTTTCGACAAAGCACCGAAAAGCCTGGAGAATTGAAGGAGTCAAGAACAGAAGCCATTCCGAGGTCCCGTTATACCGACTGAAGGTAGGGACAATCATATCCAAAGTATCCCAGACTCTTCTATAAAAGAACGAGACTGAAATACTTTGGAGGGGGTATCTGTAGGCATATAAAATTGCTTATAGGTCCCCTAGCATAGCTCGGCACAAACCGACGAACCAACGAGGCGACGAGATCGACGAATCGCACAGAAGCGACAGAATGCATCCACCCGCGTGCAGAATCAAGCTAATGAGTTGAGGAACGGGTCGGCCTTGGCCGACCCGCCAGGCGGCGGGTCGGCCAAAGCCGACCCGCGCCCCCGCGGGTCAGATCGACCCGTCGCGCTGTTTTGACCCCCTGATGTGTTTTTCGACGGTTTTGACGATTTTCTCGAGATCTTATCTATTCCAGGGGTTTCTAACTAATTTGATATCATCCCCAAACGTGGTTAGGCTGTTGTTAACTAAAGATAGAGCCAAATCACTTGTTCTCATCCAAATAACCGCTTCTGAAGCTTATAAATACGAGCTCGGGTGCTCATTTCTAGGGGGGCGATTGATTATCAAGACGAGGAGGTGCTGCCGGATTGTGGAGTCAAAGGCGCACGAATTTCAGCGAGGGTTGACAGATCTTGGCGAGTTCTTCGGCATAAAGAAGGAGAATTCGAGAGATCCGACGCTCGTTCCCGTCCGTCCCTTGAGATTAGGCTTGGTCTTAATCTCGAGAAGAGCCCTGATTTCGCTTGGTCGATCTCAGCGCTTCAAATCAAATACTTCCTCGGCGAAGGCGAAGCTCTGCCGAATTTTCCATCAACCGGATCCAGATCTAAGGCGGTCTACGGATAAACCCCGGCACAGGCAAAGATCCCACGCAAAGCAGCGGGTGATAAACGTCCTCTGCGTTTGTTTTGACGAGAGTTGTAAACTTTTGTTTTCATTGTGTAAAAGTCTTATAAAAAGACAATCTTTTTTTTGTTTTCATTGTAACGATCGAAGTTGTAATGAATACCGCAATGAATACATTAATTTTCGACGCAAACATATAGCTATGTGTTTTCTGTTAACAAATGCCATGGTATATAATTGTGAAAGATATAATTCTAAGTAAAAGACCCGTGCGGTGTGTTTGACAAATTTATGAAAAATCGAAAGATACACATGACTGATTTTATTTACTTTGATGCTTACTAGGGTGTGTTGTATTGTAGGCTTTCATGTGCCTTTTATAATTGAATAACTTGAGGTTAAAAGATTATCTTAAGATATTAGCAGCTTGTTGATCATATCTCGGATATCAATATCATGGTGCTTCATCATTTTTGGTCTGATGAGAATACACTTGGCAAAACTAGTGTGAGATGTGGAGCAATATGGCCATTTATCCCATAAATGTAGTTTTAGCTCTGGTCTTATTTCCTCAAGCAATGTGTGGTGAATAATAAACGATACTGAATTTTTGTTTTGTCACTGATTGGTAAGTCAAGGAATGCTTACGGATTGGAGTTAAAGAAGCTTTTGTGATTTTTTTTTTTAAATTTTCATCATTTCGTAATACTATTTTTTCACTCATGGTAAGTGCAGACTAGAGCCAGTTTCTCATCATTCTATCACTTTTTCTGCGTTGTACTGAAATGAATTGATAAAGTTCATGCATCGTTGCTAAGTGATCAGGTATAGAGTGTAAACCCTCTATTTTTAGTGTGTTTTTCTGCTCTTTAAAAATTCTTTGGTTTCTTAATTTAATGACTACGAAGTTATGATTTTGTCCATATGCCATTTTCCCTTTTTTTTAAGGCCTAATGTGTCAGCTTACTTATTGTCGTGGAAACTATACATTTCAAGTTATGTGTTTATATCTTTGAAATCAGAAAAAAGGTCTGGACTAAAGAACACAGTTATAATGTAGATTGTTTGGATTTAAGCAATTAGGGGGAACCATTAATCTTCATATCAGAAGGGAACTCTGTTAGACGCATACATACATATATCCAAAGTCATTTATGCCTTTACCTTACTCGTATCAAAAGTCCTGACGACCCATGAGCCAGAATTATAAACAGGTATGAATCTTCATCCATCACAGCAACAAAAGAGGGAAGCTCTATCAAATTAAGCATCGATTGAACAATACATCAAGTACCCATTGATCAATTAGCTCCTCAACAAAACACCAAAGAAACATCAAAATCGGAACTTGACAATAAAATCAAGAGACACAACTTTCTTTTACTTTCCCCCATAATCGGGCTCAAAAGAGGGGGAAATTTTCGGGAGAAAAATCACCGATCGAACTTTCCTTCACTTTCCTTTTTATTTTTTGCCAACTAAACATATGATTGTGAAAGAAAATGTAAAATTTTCTTGTGTTAGTTTTCTTTGGGGGGCTTTTTCTGCAATTTTTTTGCGAAACAAACAGCCCCTTAAAGGATTATATTGGGAACTGTGACTATTAATAGTGTAAGTCATTCCACTCCTGCGACGGTGGTTCTGATGGAATCCCTTTTGAAATTTTAAGGGCTAATTTGTAAATTTTAAAAAACAGGTGCTAATATCAAAATTATTCCGGGGTCGGTTACCCGAACTATTTCCTCTTCGTTGTCCGCGACCCATTCGTTCAGCGTTCACTGATGAGCTCTAGCATCACCTCCGACATCAAAACTCAAAAGGTAATCTAAATTTCTTTCCCCCACTTCTCTTGAATTTTAATTTAGTTTTCATGAAATGAGGTTAGCACTAGAAAAAAGGGGGCCAATTGTTCTAGGGTTCTGAAAACCCAAAATTTGATAGGCTTTATCTATTTGTTTTCGTGGGTGACTTATTAATTGTGCGATAGATTCATGAAAATTTTGTAATTTGTATATTATTAGGAGTACCATTGAAATCTGTATGTTATGGGTTTTGTGTTTACTCAGTCATTTTATCGAGCATCTTTAGGTCATCAATACAACGTGGGCTTTTTTTTCCCCTTCCTGATCGAGTTTTGTTATATAGCTATGTGTTTTCTGTTAACAAATGCCATGGTATATAATTGTGAAAGATATAATTCTAAGTAAAAGACCCGTGCGCAGGGCCGGCCCTAGCATAAGGCAACTAAGGCCTTTGCCTTGGGCCCCAAGTTGGATAAGGCCCACCCACCCATATATATAATATATGTAACTTAGTTACTTAAGCATAAAGCTAACCCTATTTAAAAAGTGAAGATCCAAAGATAAAAAGTGAAGCTAATAGCTTAGCAACTTATGAGATTGAAAATTTTGAATTCTTAATAGCTATGAATATTTGGTATGACATATTGTTTGCTGTTAATTCAGTTAGTAAAATCTTACAATCTAAATATATGCATATTGATATTGTCATAGATCAATTAAATGGTCTTATTGTATATTTAGAAAATTATAGACAAAATGCTTTTATATCTGCTTTGAATTCAACTAAAGAACTTGCTAATTAAATGACGTACAACCTATATTTTGTGAAAAACGTAAAATTCATAGAAAAAAACAATTTGATGAAATATTGGTAATGAAACAACATTTAACGCTGAAGAATCTTTTCGTATTGAATATTTCTTATACATAGTTGATAAATCGCTTGGCTCAATTGAAAGTAAGTTTGAACAATTTAAAACGTATGAAAAAAAATTTGGTTTTTTGTTTGATTTGAAAAAATTAAAAGCTTTAGATTGTATTAAATTGAAAGCATATTATCTTAATCTCGAAAATGCACTAAAACATGATGAACATTTAGATATTAATGGACTTGATTTGTTTTCAGAATTGAGAGTGCTTAGGAAAATTTTAAAAATAGAGATTAATAGTCCAATTGAAGTGTTGAACTATATAAAGTGGTTAGATTATTTTCTAAATACTTGTATTGCTTATCGTGTACTATTGACTATACTCGTAACAGTTGCTTCCGCTGAAAGAAGTTTTTCAAAATTAAAATTACTAAAATCTTATTTAAGATCGACCATGTTACAAGATATTGAAAATAATATGTAATTTTGCCGCTCAAAAGGTAAGAAGAATGAGATAAAATGTATTATGAGTTGTATCACTTAGGCCTCATCCAATATTTCGCCTTGGGCCCCAAAATTCCTAGGTACGGCCCTATCTATCCTTTTCAATTAAAGATTGGAAATTATGCACTGACCATATAAATATCCGTCCTTTGCTTTGTCATCACCTTGACCAGGGCAAGCAACGAAATGGCGTCCGCAAAGTTTCACAGTTTTAGGTTTATTTTCCTTTGCTTTGTCCTTTGTCACAATGCAGTGAATGGTACAGCGAGAAAAGGATTCACTCTGGTATATACTTTTTTCTTAAATTCAATTGCATAGTTAAGAGAATTTTATAACTGACTCCTTGATAATTATATCCAATTTTATGGATATGTTTTGCTAGTGAAAAACGCTATTGATCTTGCATTGTAGTTTTTTTTTTTTTTTTTGGACACCCCCCATTTTCCCTTTTTTTAAGGCCTAATGTGTCAGCTTACTTATTGTCGTGGAAACTATACATTTCAAGTTATGTGTTTATATCTTTTAAATCAGAAAAAAGGTCTTGACTAAAGAACACAGTTATAATGTAGATTGTTTGGATTTAAGCAATTAGGGGGAACCATTAATCTTCATATCAGAAGAGAACTCTGTTAGACGCATACATACATATATCCAAAGTCATTTATGCCTTTACCTTGCTCGTCAGCACCAGTGTGGACGCTCAATTTCCTTTTTATTTCTTTTCTCACATAATATGCTATGAACTGTTTGCTTGGTTTCTCAGATCATAGAGTCAGGAATTATTCACGCGAATACAAGACCTCTTCAAGACAAGGTTCTAATATGAATACTATGATCTGAAGAGAAATTTCAGTGGGATCGGTTTTGTTATGTCTTTCAAGTGAGAGGAAAGACATAATAGCAAGAAATAATACTTTGCTGTCATTATGGCTCCCTCATTGGACTTGCAGGCATTTATAGCTCGTGCTCGTGTCTTGAAGCTCTACCGGCAAGCTCTGCGGACTGCTCGCAGGGCCCCGATTCATGCAAGAGGTGTGGTTACTGATGTTTTAATTGTAGAGTAATGAGTAAAAAGAAAGTGAAAAATGTTATCAGGGCATGCTAGCATAGAGCTTCTGTACGCTAGATATAAACACTAGAATACATCACATAAACATTGGTCTAAGGCAAATTTATTGGATGCCTAACCCAATTTCCTTAGTTGATAGCTCATTTATGGCTATGTTCATGTTTGCATATACATCTATGAGCTATAGGCATATCCTTGTGTTTGATTTTCAAGTTGTCTCATGTGGACAGCCGAAACATTTGAAGACATATACTGGCAATATCTATTAATGACAACTTTAAATTGGGGGTTACCACCCGCGGATGGTTCTAGTGGTCAGCAGCCCCATGGGGGAGAGAGTCCCTAGGGCTTCGTGCCCATGCTGGTCGCTAGTTCGAAACCCGCTTGCAATTCACCTGTTGTCCACGCATTAGGGGTGGGGTGGAGACCGGGGTTTACTTGACTGGTCCAGCTGGGCCGCAGTCCGGTTCGAATCTCTCACCCGGGATGCTTCCCTCGATCAGCATGGGGGGTGGGAGGTTCGAACCAGGGGTGTCAGTCCCCAAGGGGCTGAGTGCCCAGCTGCGCTAGCCAAGGTTCCCTTGTCAAAAAAAAAAAAAAAAAAAAAAAAAAAAAAAAAAAAAAAAAAAAAAAAATAAAGTTGGTTAAAAAAAAAAAAAAAAAAAAAAAAAAAAAAAAAAAAAAAAAAAAAAAACTTTAAATTGGGGGTTTTAGAGAAACTTCCATCTTTTCTTCTTTACCTCTTCATGTGCGAAACCGTGGTAGAAGTTCCGGAAGATAACCCACCCTGATTATGCCAACCATGGTACAGTCGATTGGAGGGCCATGTAAATGTTCTCTACATGTTTAATGCAAACCTTTTAACACTATTTACTTGTTATGCTCATTTACTAAAAATAAAGTCACATACTTCTAAATTGGACATATTTCCAAATTATACGATTTTAAACTTGCATACCAGATTTACATATGAAACGTCTTTCAGCAACTTGATTTTGGTGGGAATATGTGGGTGATATTAATATCAGAATTTCAGCCTCTGTTTCATAACTAATTCTTATAAAAATTCAGATTGTTTATTTGATTTGTTATTTGTTTCAGATGAGCTGAGAAATACAACGAGGCAGGAGATAGAAAAGAACCGGCACTGTGATGACAAGCAGAAAGTACGCTTCCTCGTCAGTGAAGGATATCAGAGATTGAAAGAACTCGATGAGATGCTCGATATGCAGGGTCACAGATAGATATATGTGGTCCTGAACCGTAGGGTAGTTTTAGTTCTTGTGACCTTAGCGAAAGATCGAGTGCAGATTTATGTTGTATCATTCAAATTTATTCTTGAAAAATCTCAGTTTGGAGATGCATTAAACCGGTGATAACCTTGTCGTTGAGGAATTCTGTAATTCTGTCATTTCTTGGCTCGAGGATTCTTTGAATTTTTGTTTAGGTTAACGACGTGGTGCAAACGTCTAGCAATAGATCATTTTTGTATTTTTAATTGACGTCTAATGAATATTATCATTTCTTTATACCATCTCAATAGTATGTCTTGGAAATAATAGTGAAATAGTGGTATGGTATTTTTTTAGCTTAGGAAACTAAAGGTTTCTTAACTTTTTGTTGATCCTTTTGTAATACTAGTTGAGATGCACGTGCAATGCATGTGGTTGAATATCATGATTATTTAAATTGATAAAAATAGAGTAAAAATAAACAAAGAGAACAAAGTGTTTTGTGGGATTTGTCAATAACTCAATAATCTCTCTCTCAAACAAAATATTGTCATTGTTTCCTTCAACCCAGACTGTGATCACGTGATCTACTATGTGTAAGTTATAAACACATTCATCTAGTACAACATCTCTATTTATTAGTATATTGAAGTCTTCAAAAGATGGGTGATCATTCAATTCATAAAGGAATTTTGCATATGAATTACTTACAATATGTCCATTAAACTTTTAGTTGTGGTTTGACTCATATTCACGTTAACTTTTTACCCAAAGAGTTAGAAGTTATTTGAAATTAGATTTTTAAAAATGAAAATATTTTGTGAAATTCACACTCTACTGGAGATGATATTCTCTACAAGTAAGATCTGCTCATTGAAGCCCTTAATTAGTTGAAATTAGGGGTGGAAACTAATCAAAATTGGATCAAATAATAATCCATTATTTTTATTTGTATGCGGTTCATATTTAGCTATCCATATTCATATTCAAAATAAATATGTAATCTGCATTCAAGTTCAATTGGAATATTTCACGAATGTTTGTTGATACTGTACGTTTTTAGGTAGTCTTTGCCAATTATCCGGTTCATATTCCTTAAATATTTGTTATTCCATCTTAGTTTTATAATAGAACCAAACATTACACTTCCATTGAATATGCAATTAATTTAGTAATAAAAACATTAGAATCATTGGCGAAACTTAGTTCATTCACCGTCTTTTCTAAAAATAAAAATAAGAAATGGATGTAATTATACATCTTGCAGGTAACAATGAATTATCATATTAAATATCTGAAAATAAGGGGGGGAAAGCACGAAGACAAACACATCATGTAACATGCAGAATTAATCAAATCAAACATCTGAAGAAAATGCTAACTCGACATAATTCGTAGGTAACTTATATGCAATTTTATGAAGGAAAACAACAATTTGTTATTTGTTTCTTTATAAAAAAAAGGCGTACGTATATGTGAAATTACAACAATTGATTAAATATTTCAATATCATACAGTATTATTCTCACTTTGAATGATACCATATAATTAATTCTAAGCAATTTCGTATGCATGAGATGGCTTGTTTTTTCCTAAAGGCCACATGCAAACATTTCTTTTCTTTTCTTATCTTTTCAATATTTTCATACCAAATTAAGGAAAGACTAACTGATTCCACCACCACCACCAGCAGCATCATAACTAGGGAAGGTCCTGACGAAGCAGGCCGTAGGTAACAAAGGCGACGAGGAGGAGCAGCAGAACCAGCAAAGCGACCGTCACGGTTGTGGCTGCTGCGCGCACGGCGGACACCCAGTTGTCGGGGACGAGGGCGAGGGCGAAGGTGAGGCCGTAGAGGAGGATGCCGAGCACGAGGAGCGTGATGTGGTCGAGGGCGTAGGCCGCCGTCAGGAGGTCTTCCGAGTAAAGGCCCCTGGGCGTGGGCCACAAAATGGCAGCAGCGGCGACAGAGAGCGTGGCCGCGCTGATGCTGGTGAATATACCCGGATCCCTCTCCCTCTGAACTGATTGCTGCTGCCCGGCAGCAAATCCGTCAGTAGCTCCTTCTCCTCCTCCTCCTGAAGAGCCAAGGGTCTGCTGGATATTGTCATGGACGGCGACAACGTGGGCATCACCACCACCTTCTCGGCCATCATTATAATCAGAAATCTGGACCTCCTCCTCGATCCCCTGCAAGAAGACCGACCAGAGACGAGATCGGAAGGGGTGCATGAGATATAGAATATTAGGAAACGGGGAACAAAAATAAGCGGACTGCTAGCTACTTAATAGCCAGATAGGAGTATTAGCTTTCTCATCGGAGCCGGCATGGGGGTTGTCGGCTGTGATGGCGCCGGCCATCTCCATATAATTAGCTTCCTCCTCCTCCTCCTGATGATGATCAGTAGCTCCTCCTACTCTCAATGATTGCTGGCTGAACATGCACAATTCAAGTCATATTGAATACCTTCTACCTAGTTTCTCTGACCACTCCCCTGGTTTGGTAGCCATATATGATGAATGTATTCAGGGAAAGAAATCTTTCAAATTCTTCAAGATGTGGACAAAGCATGAAAATTATTTGCCTACTATAACTTCAGTCTGGAACACTAAAGTGACAGGTTATGCCATGTTTTCAGTTTATTCAAAGCTCAAGCTTCTTAAAATTGCACTAAAGGAACTGAACAAAAGGCATTTCAAAAACATCAGTGAACAAGTGATAAGATCAAAACAAGCTCTTCAAGATGCACAGAAAAACCTGCAAGTGGATCCTCTTAATCAGTCCTTCATTGATCAAGAAAGGAAATGCACAGTCTCTTATAATAAATTACTGGATTGTGAGCTCTCTTTCTATCAACAGAAATCAAGAATTTTATGGAGCCTTCAAGGTGATAGATGTACAAGCTACTTCCACTCCGTGATTAAATCCAAAAGACATCAAAATAGAGTCATGGTCCTCTATAATAATGCAGGGGAAAAACTCACAGATGGAGATGAAATAATATCTGAACTTATCTCCTTCTACAAGAGTCTGATGGGCACAACAACTGACACTGTCAAGCCAGACAAGAAAATTATTGGCAATGGCCCTTGTCTAAGTTCAACCCAAGCTAGGAATCTGATAATTCCAGTCAGTAGAGAGGAAATTAGAGATGCTGTTTTCTCTATGTCAGAAAATAAAGCCCCAGGTCCTGATGGGTTCAGCATGTCTTTCTTTAAAACTGCATGGGGAATTATTGGGGATGAAGTCTCTATTGCCATTGAAGATTTTTTCAAGAATGGTAAGTTGTTGGGTGAGATTAACTCCACGTCCATTAACCTAATCCCTAAAGTTCAGTGTCCTAAAATGCCATCAGACTTTAGACCTATAGCATGTTGCAATTGTCTATACAAATTCATTTCAAAAATCCTAACAAATAGGATTAAATCAGTGATGGGATCACTAGTTAATGAAGCACAAAGTGCTTTTGTTAAAGGGAGGCAAATAACTAGTAATGTTCTCCTTGCACATGAGCTTGTCAAAAATTACAGCAGGAAACACATATCTCCAAGAGTTATGCTTAATATGGATATCAAGAAAGCTTTTGACACAATCAACTGGGATTTCCTCAAGGAGATGTTATGTGGATTGGGGTTTCCTGAGACTATGATAGGCTGGATTATGGCCTGTATCACCTCTCCCAAATACTCTATTGCATTAAATGGATCTCTACATGGCTACTTCAAAGGCAAAAGAGGACTGAGGCAGGGAGACCCCCTCTCACCTTATCTCTTTATCCTTGGTATGGAATACCTTTCAAGAAGCTTGAATATGCTAAAAGATGACAAGAAATTCAAATTCCACCCAAGGTGTGGCAAATTCAGTATCACCCACTTGATTTTTGCAGATGACCTCCTCCTATTTGCAAGAGGTGGCCTGTATTCTGTAAATAAACTGCAGCAATGCTTCAGGGAGTTCAGTGCAGTGTCAGGTCTTGAAGCAAACTCAAATAAATGTTCGATATTTTTTGGAGGGGTTGATGTCTCAACCAAGACAACAATTATTAACAGTGTGGGATATCCAGAAGGAGCTATGCCCATTAGGTATCTAGGTGTACCTCTCATCTCCAAAAGATTATCATGCTTGGATTGTGCACCTTTGCTAAACAAAATCAAAGATCAGTTTCAGTCCTGTGCAAACTACAGACATTTATCATATGCTGGAAGACTTCAGCTAATCAAAAGCACAATTCTAGGAATTCAAGTGTTTTGGACATCCAACTACATCTTACCTGCTGGAGTTCTTCAGAGAATTGATATTCTTTGTAGGAACTTTCTGTGGGGGAAACAGGATCACCAGGTCAAAGCTAATTCCTTGGTTGCATGGGACAAAGTGAGTTTGGGGAAAAAATATGGAGGCCTGGGAATATACTCTGCCTCCATGTGGAATTATGCTTCAGGTCTGAAGATTTTGTGGAATATACATATCAGGAAAGAAAGCCTCTGGATGAAATGGATACATGGCACCTATCTTAAAAACAGAGATATTTGGCTTGTTCAAGCTAAAAGTGGCGACTCATGGATGTGGAAACAAATCTTAAAAACCAGGGACAAAGCTTTGTTCTCAAATGGAGGGGTTGATAACTTGATGCAATTGATTAACTCCTGTGTTAATAATTCAAAAGTTCAGATGTCAGTCCTCTACCATGCTCTCTCAGCAAACTCTGTGCCTGTACCATGGTATAACACAGTCTGGGAAGGAATCAGTTACCCAAAGCATTCTTTTTTGAGTTGGCTAGCTGTGCAAAACAGGCTGCAAACTCAAGATAGGCTTCTCAAAAGAGGAATTATACACTACAAGAAATTACATCTTTAACGAAGGGATTTCCCTTCGTTAAAGAGCTAAAAACCTTCGTTATTATATGCTAACGACGGGGGAAAATCCCTTCGTCACCCGTCGTTGAAGCCCTCTTCGCTAAAGGGTCACGAAGGGATATACTACCCGTCGTTATAGAGTCTATAACGACGGAACATATTACCGTCATTAATATTTACGACGGTAATTATCACCGTCGTTACTATCAGTGACGGGGATATTTTCCCGTCGTTACCATCAGTGACGGGATATTTTCCCGTCGTTACCATTAGTTACGGGGATATTTTTCCGTCGTTACCATTAGTTACGGGGATATTTTCCCATCGTTGAAGACTAATTAATGACGGTTGGATACAGTCGTAGAAGTCCTCATAATGGGTAATTAGTAACCCATTAACGACGGTGCTTTCCCTTCGTTGATGAACAAAATACGGTTTATAAAACCGTCATTGTAGACTACAAATTTCTAATATATATTAATAATAATTTTTCCATTCATAAACAACTATCATATTATTCTCAACCTGACACTAAGATTCACAATACAAATATATTAAAAATGCCCAATAATGAATAAAAGGAAAAATAAAAATTCCATTCATTAATAACATCAATAAATAAAATTCTTCCATCCTCAAATATTCAATACTAATAACAAGAGTTAATATCCTAATTGTTCCAAAAAAAATACATGAAACTATCTATAACAAATTAAAATAAAAGTTTGGGGAAGACACATTCTTTCATCTCTAATCATCGTCAAAAGAAGACTCGAGCTACCCCACCTCTCCTAATCTTGCATGGATAACCTGAAAATTTAAAAAAAAATCACATAATTAAGAAATATCAACTAAGCAAATATTATCTTATTAAGTAAAAATCGTACTTTCTCTAGTGCAAATAGTCAATCATATAAGTATATAAGAGATTTTACAAAAAATAATTACCTAGTCCTGCACATGTTCTCGAGTTTGAGGAGTCAATGAAGATTGTTGCCTAAAAAAAGTTGAATCCTGGTAAGATATACAGTCCTTTGTGAGGCTTCTTTCACCCTCAAAGACCTACGACAAACAATCAATTCATTTTAGTATAGGTAAGATATACAATGAAAACTTTATAGCAAGTTTTCATATAGAATTCATCCACACCTAAATGGATACAGTGGTTTGTTGATCCTGGTAAGTGCTAAAAACTTGAGATTTCTTGGTTGGGATAACAATGTTTCTAGGGATCAATTTGGTCATCACGGTCGTTAACAGTCTCAATTCCAAGAGTAAGTGGTGCAACATCCAACAGTAGGATATCTGCATTGATATTGTATTACAATAAGACAACAATGAAGTAATTTTTGCAATCAACTACAAATTTAAGGTTTCCTGATTTTTTTAACCTTTAGTTTCTTCACCACCCTCACCACTCAAGGTACTTCCTTGTACTGCTCGCATTCTCTCCTTAGCTTTCCAAGATCACGGTTGTCCTTGCTTATGTCCTTTCCGTGTTATTTCTTGATCAATTTGATGAAGTACTCCATGATTCTTTGATCAAAGTCCTCACTTGCATTGCCCAAAAAAGTAAATATAAGAAATGAGCTAAGAAACTGAATGCAGGTTTCAAATCCAATGAAAAAAATTAACACTTCATTGGCAAGAAGATGTAGATGAGTATAAGGTGACACACTAAGTAATTCTAAATGAAGAATATGAATGTGAAATTGTACAAACTACATACTGAACTATGGAAGTGAAGTAAAAATTTTGCAAATGTGACAACATCAAAAAACATGTATATTACCTCCAAGATGAGTGTCACCATTTGTTGCCAGGACCTCAAAAACACCATTATCAATAGTCAAGATGCTGACATCAAATGTGCCACCACCAAGGTCAAAAACAAGGATGTTCTTCTCCCCTCCCTTCTTACCTAGACCATAGGCAATGACAACAGTTGTTGGTTCATTGATAATTCTTGCAACATTCAAACCAGCAATTACACCAGCATCCTTGGTTGCCTGCCTTTGAGCATCATTAAAGTACGTTGGATGAAAAATTAGAATAGTGAATATTAGCCATTAAACATGTCATAGAAGATGTTTTAAGTGAAAAGGGGAATAAGATGTATAATTTATTCTACCTGGGACAGTCACAACAGCATCCTTAATTTTCTTTCCAAGAAATTCCTCAGCTGTCTCCTTCATTTTAGTGAGAACCTTTGCACTAATCTCCTCAGGGTTGAAAACTTCATGTCTCAAAAACCAAGGTTAATCATGCAGCATCATGTCAACACTTTGATCATGAGAATTGTGTCCCTGAAGCAAATATTAAAACGGGAAGCATAGGATATTTTCACTGTTATGCATATTTAAGTTGAACAACACCTTAGCATCCTGAAGTTCAGGTGAAGCACAAGCAGATACTTGCAAAAGCGAGGAACATACCCATACTTGAAACCTTATGAGACGCAAAATGGGCATCCTACAATAGATTTAAGTTCAAAAAGTTTTATGTGATGAAATCAGAAACTAACACAGCAGGATCATAAAGGTGATGCCTTATTTATTTCATTCCATAGTAAAGTCAGCAACAACTGGACACGAGAAAGCACAAAACGGATATTAAAGGCCTTTGGATGAACTGGAACAATGCTTATTCTTATGGTTCTCCGCCAAGCTCAACTCGCAAATTGTCATATGGATAGACTTTTGGGGCCTACAACAGAGGAAGTCAGCAGAAAATATATAACGTTATATAAACCTACAAACACTATTTCCACAGGCTGCCATGAATTCAAAAGAATTTCAAATGCTTTTGACTTCACAAGATCTTTGCCAGACATGAACATTTTCCACAATAAAAAATACCGAAATTTATGTGTTCTGAGTTAAATTTAGTCATTTTAAAGGCTCGGGGGAATCCAAACTAATTGAATTGGATCGAAAATAGATTTAAACAAAGCATGCAAAATATATATAAACAGGCAGCAATGACATCACGGTAATGATATATTGGCTAAAATAGAGGAACCTACAGATATTATCCTCTGAGGCAAGTTAGATGCCATTGATGAGTTATATTCAGAAACATTGTTAGGAAAAATACTATTGCTCCATCAATTTACAGTCTGAAATATAAGACACTGGAAACTATCACAAAGAATTTTCTTTTATCACTTTATTAACTGTAGAACAACTAATACATGTTTAGGAAAGAATGCAAACATGTAACACCATCACCGATAAGGTCAGAATTTCCTTTAATCAACTCAGGGCTGTAGCCTTTTATTACCGGTGAAGCATCTTTTGTACAGAAAACATGTGATAAATCTACACCCTATGCAAGAAAGGCAGAATTCTTAAAATTCAACATAAACCAAGATATGAATATCTTTTAAGTATGAACGTACTAAAACAAACATGGAGAATAATGAAATGTAACATAAGAGGCATTACTAACAATTTTTAGGGCGGATATAGCAGCGAAATATGTTGCACCAGTATATTCACGGCATCCACCAAATCAAAACTAACAGGAAAAATGAGAACATGGGTTTCTCTTGGTTCACCCAATTATAAAGAAAATCAACAAATGAAGACCCAAATCAAAAAATTTGAAAGTTTGTTGTGATGACATTATAAGAAAAAAAAATGAGTTAAGAAAACACATATGAAAGGAGCATAGCTTTGCAAGATCTGGAACCAGAGCTCGTACATTTTGAAAGGGTATATGAAAAGAAAGTGGTAAGGTTCTGCACTCATTCACCCATGGCTCAACATATTCCTTTGTTGTTGGTATTGACATAACATAATCATCTGTAGAAAGAAGAGAAAACAATTACAAGAGAATAAAAGGAATATATTACAAGAGAAAACAATTTCCCCCATAAGTTTCATGGCTATTCAATGATAATCAATAAAAGATCACTAATAGAATATGATGAGAGAAGTGGATATGAAATTAAGACAAACTATATCATTTATATGTTTGAGAATCAGGGTTTTGGTGCCAAAAAATGTATTATAGTAGAACACATAATTCATCAAAGAAACAAGCACATGTTACTCTGCCTAGAACCACACAGATGTGACATTTCAAGTGGAACAAATTCATACAAATCATCGCCAAAACTTGTACATGTTTTACTGCTTGACAACCGGTTAGAGACGCCCTAATGAGTTGCAATTTATAATATTAGCTTCATGGCTTCAAAAAAAAAAGGATGGGCATAGGTTATTAATTCGTCAAATAATTTTGCTCCTAAACATAGCAAATATAAACAATATCACAGACATGTACAAATACAGACAATTATGTTCACACTTACATTTTCTCTCGTCCTTAGGCTTCCTCCCGAAACTGTTTTCATTCTACCAAGAAACCCTCCATCAGAATAAGCCATTAAAATCAAAATTCACATGAAGATGCAAATGATCAATTACCTTTGCATTGTTGAGCCTCGCTAGCAGCTCCTTATCAATGCGATTGTCTTCTGGTGCCCTACACAAAGCTCAATATATGCTATAAGTTCTAAAGCAAACTAAAAGAAATTAATCTAATGAAGATGACTGCAATATGCGACAAGAAAGTACTTTTTGTTAGCTTCCTGGGTGTTTTTTTGGAACGAATTTCTGCACATAACCATATTTCAAAAATAAAAGTTCAAAAAAGTAAAACAGGGTTATTTACTATATATCCACAAATTAACCATCCTTGCAGGTTTGCCCCAAATTCTACCACTGTTCAAATACCAACGAATTATCCACAAAAAAATCATGCAGTACTTTGCTAATGCAATTGTTCGCTAATGCAAAGAGTACAAAACATATAACTATAATGTCTTTCACCTGCTAACTATATCTTCCAATTCTCCTTCGAAGTCTCACCAAGTATCGTATGTACTACTAATTTCAGGAGGAAACAGATGTAAAACCGCAGAATCACAAGGATGAACTGAGAGGCTAAGGAGAACCATTGAACTGAGCTTAGAAACAAGGTGGCTTTTGGAATCAAATGCCTAAGCAGAATACATCTGAAAATACCCAAATTAGGGTTAGGGTTTTGAGGTAGAGGACTTACAAGTCAGACGTCCAGCGAAAATGAGGAGCATGAGAGGCGGCGAGGTCAGATTTGGGGAGGAAGAACTAGGGTTTTTTGAGGGGCACTCGGTGGTAAATGGGTTTGGGGTTTTTTTATGAGAGAGAGAGGATGGGGTTAGGGGGGATTGCGTTGGTTTTTTTCTTTTGATTTTCGTGAAAATAAACGGGGGGAAAGTTCCCTCGATTGTGTGAATAGGCAAAAACGGGGGTTAGATGGTGATTTGGGTTTCGGGTTATTTATATTAATTTTGATTACTATTCCTATTATCATTAGGAGTTATGATTAATGAAGGTAATGGACCCTTCGTCTTTAATGAGACCCAATAACGACGGTATTAGGATCAAATTAATGAAGGGACTAAAAAACCGTTATCAATCTCACATCATTCCTATAATATTTGTAATCACTCGACGAAGGCTTTAAAAACCCGTCGTTATTATATGCACATTAACGACGGTCAACTAATCCCTTTACTAATTTTGGTCGTTAAATACTGTGTAGTGATAACCAGTAACTCCTGCTGTTTATGTACAAGAGCTGAGGAGAATAGAGATCACTTGTTTTTTGATTGTCATTTCTCAAGTGAAGTCTGGTTGCTTGTGATGGATTGGCTGAAATTTTCATGGAGATCTTGTGTGTGGAATCATATTATGGACTGGTATTGCTACAAGTTGAGAGGTAAGGGAGACAGGCAAAAGATCAAAAGGATGGCTCTCTCCTCAACACTATATTGCATATGGATTGAGAGGAATAACAGAATTTTCAAGAATAAATTCAGGAATGCAGTCCAGGTGTTCGGGGAAATAAAGATCAGTATGCTATACATCATCCTCAATAGTACAAGTCTTCTTGACAGCAGAGATTGGATACTGTCACTATAGATGTAAATAATTAGAATATGAAGTTGTAATCTCATATTTTGAGTATCTTGATGTACATTCTTTTCATATTTGGTGAATGAATAAAGTCTTTTTAATTGACCAAAAAAAAAAAGAGATCAAAGGGGTGAGATCGATATAACCAGAGGTGACTATTTTTGGATTTTATTGGTAAGAGGATGAATGTTGGTGCTGATCTGCATGAGGAGAGGTGCTCTGCATGCGGAGGGTGGGACTATATTTATAGTGGGTCTTGGTGAGGGAATCTTGAAACGAAGCTCGATCACGGAGCTGAGCTGTCGGTATCTATAACAGCTGCACGCCACCGTACCCTGGGTGATGATAGACTTCCATGCATTATGGCGACTCTAATTAGTTAAGACGAGGATAAGATAACTTTTTTGGTCAATAAAGTTTCACTTTTAGGCTTGTTGCGTTTGGGTCCAAAGAAAAATGAGGAAAAGGAAAAAGAAAAGAAAAAAAAAAAAAAGGTCGAATGAAAGCGAAATGATCGAGTTTCCTTCTCACCTTTAGTCACTAAACCGGCCCTCATCAGCCCTCACTAGCGGAGGTATTCTCCTTGACTAGCTAGGTCGTTTAGAGAATCTGACCTACTCTAATCATCGATCAGCAAGCTAGATATCAATTATTAGGACACTAAACTCGCCTTTAAATGGCTTACAAAGGAATAAGGAAGCTGTAGAGCGTCGACATTAATGGTGTGTTTGGGAGTTTACTTAGGGAAGGGAAGGAAGGGGAAGGAAGGGGAAATTTTCCCCTTCCTTCCCCCTCCATTACACCCCAATTTGGGGTGTAAGAATTTGGGCCAAATTTCCCCTCCATTCCCCTCCTCTACCCTCCAAAATAAAACTCTCAAACAAGGTTAAAATGAAACTTCCCTTCCCTTCCCCCTCTCTACCCTCCATCCAAGCAGGCCATAAGAAAAAGGAGATTCTAATTAAAATCAGCCGTCTCACTCCTGCCTGCCCTAAATCAAAATCAAACCCAAATCAAAAATTAAAAATATAAAACCAAATCAACCCCCCCCCCCCCCCCCCGCCCGAACTGCGCGAAGCAAGTATGAAAATGCTAGAGCTGGAATAGCCAGAAAGTATGAAAAGCTAAAGACGTTTCACACAGACCTGAAACCCTAACCCTGAATCAACAAACTCAACCTAACCGTTTCAAAACTTAACAAAAAACACTTAAAATAAAAAATTATAAATATCACCTTATAAAATAGAAAATTACAAACAACCCCCGACAATTCCTAAACTAAAATACCCTCAAAAAAATTATAAAAACACCCTAAAAACTCAAAACATACTAGTGACACTGAAAATTTCAAACCATACGAGTAGTCCCCAGAAATTTTTTGAACTTACAAAAAAACACCCTAAAATTTTGACAATTATAAAAAACATCTCAAAAATCAAACTAAAAAACAAACTAAAAATTTTAAATCTAAAACATTATAATGAAAATACAAAGAACCCCAAAAGTTTTGAAATTTGTAGAAAGAACTCTAAAACTAAAAAACTTAGAAAACACCATAAAAATTCTAAATTAACAAAAAAAATGAAAATTTCAAACATAAAACGATAAAGCAAAAAATCTAAGAATTACATATAGGCCCCTAAAATGTTTCAAAATTGTAAAAACACCCTAAAACTCTTAAATTTTGCCAAAAAATACCCTTACAACTTTAACCCGTATAGAAAAAGCTTGAAATTTTCAAACCTAAAATAGAACACTATCTATGAATTCCAAACAACCCCCTAAAGGGGAAAGAGGGCTACGACAAGGTGATCCTCTATCCCCTTACTTGTTCATCTTGGGTATGGAATACCTATCTAGGAGCCTTGATCTTTTGAAACTTGACACTATCCCCTTACTTGTTCATCTTGGGTATGGAATACCTATCTAGGAGCCTTGATCTTTTGAAACTTGACAGGAATTTTAAATTCCATCCTAAATAGGAGCCTTGATCTTTTGAAACTTGACAGGAATTTTAAATTCCATCCTAAATGTGGCAAACTAAAAATTTCCCATCTCATCTTTGCCGATGACTTATTGCTGTTTAGCAAAGGGGATTTGTACTCAGTGCAAAAGCTTAAGCAGTGTATCTCTCATTTCAGTTCAGTAATTGGACTGGATGCTAACCCCAGCAAAAGTGCTATTTTTTATGTTGGTGTTGATGATTCTATCAAGGATTCTATTCAAAATTGCTTAGGCTTTTCTGAAGGCAACCTCCCTATCAGATATTTGGGAGTACCTCTTGTATGCAAGAGGTTATCATTCGATGACTGCAGACCTCTTTTTAACAAGATTTTCAGTCAGTTCCAAAATTGGCTATCTCATAGGCATCTATCCTATGCGGGGAGACTCCAGATTATCAAAAGTGTCATCCTTGGGGTTCAACTATTTTGGACTTCAAGTTATATCCTACCTAAAAAAGTTCTTTATGGTATTGATAAACTGTGTAGAGATTTTCTATGGGGAAAAGCTGACTCAAACAAGCCTTCTCTTGTCTCTTGGGATGTTATCTGTAGAAGTAAGGATCAAGGAGGGTTAGGAATCTTCTCAGCAGTTACATGGAACACTGCATCTGCCCTTAAGATCATATGGTTTATTCATACAAACAAGGAGCTCCTTTGGATTAAGTGGATTCATGGCACTTATCTAAAACATAGGAATATTTGGCAGGTTGAGGCTAAAGTTGGGGACTCATGGATGTGGAAACAAATCCTGAAAATTAGAGATAATGTGTTAAATCTCTGTGGTGGAGTTTCAGGTCTTCTTCATCTTATTAGCTCTTGTATAAAGAGTTCTAAGTTGAAAATTTCAGCTCTATATCATGCTCTTCTTCCTATTACACCTAAAGTAGTGTGGAGGGAAACTGTTTGGGAAGGAATTAGTTTTCCTAAGCACAGTTTTGTGTTGTGGCTTGCCATCCTTGACAGATTACTTACACAGGATAAGCTTCTAAATAGGGGAGTTATCAACCGAAATTGTTGCATCCTGTGTTCTGTAAATGCCACTGAATCTAGAAATCACCTATTCTTTGCTTGTTGTTTCTCAAGTGAAGTTTGGAATGGTATTATGGACTGGCTAAGGTTCAATTGGAGGTCATGTGCCTGGAATTTACTCCTGGACTGGTATAATATCAGGTTGAGAGGGAGTGTTTTCAAAAATAAAATCAAGAGAATGGCTTTGGCAGCTACTGTTTACAGTATTTGGATGGAAAGGAATGTAAGAATTTTCACTCAAGTTTGCAAGGGTGCTGATCGACTGATTAAGGAAATCAAAATTGATATCCTGTCCAGCATCCTTAATAGTAAGCTCTTGGAAGAACACAAAGATCTGGTGTTGACACTATGATCCCCTGTGGAATTAGGATCCTGTTTTTGTTGAGGTTTTGCTTTGATGTGGAGGCTTCAATCTAAGGTTGAAATGAGGAGTACAAGTTGTGTCTTGGCTTCTCTCTGCTGCAGCTTCTGAGATTTTGAGCACTGGATGTGCACGTATAAACCTGTGCATGTTTTTTCCCTCAGTTTTGTTTTTTCATTGGGGGTTTTTTCTTCTCTTATTGAGGTTAATTCTTTGAGGAGCTTTGTATATAGTTTCAGCTGTAATTTTTGTTAACTCACATATGTGAGGATATTCTTGATGTACAAAATTTTACATATTGGTGATGAATAAAGCTTTCATTTACCAAAAAAAAAAAAAACAGCCCCCTAAAATCTTAGAATTTGTAAAAAATGCCCGAAGCTTTCAAAGTCGCAATAAACACCCTCAAAAGTTCAAATTTTACAACAAACTTTGTGAATATTTCAAACATACAGATAGTACATTGAAAATATTACAACTACAAATAGCCCCATAAAATTTTTAGGATTTGCATAAAACATCCCAAACTTCTAAAACATAAAACAACACCCTTAAGAATTTAAAATTTGCAAAAAGAGACTAAAAATGTCAAACCCAGGAAACAGTACACTGAAAATTTTAAGAATTATAAATAGTGCTCTGCAAATTTTTTATTTGCAAAAAACAACCTAAAACTTTTAAAACTTTCAAAAACACTAAAAATACAAACTTTTCTTGAAACTCCCACAAAAAAATTAGCCTACAAATAGTAAATTGAAAATCTAGGAGCATAAGCAGCCTCTCAATTTTTTTAGAATTTGAAAAACAATGCCCTAAAACTTTAGCAGTTGCAAAAAACACCGTAAATATTTTTTTAGAATTTATAAGAAACATCCTGAAAAGATAAAAATTTACCGAGAAGTTTTTTAATTTTAATTTTGAGGATGTTTTTAGCAATTTTTAAAATGTTTAGGGTGTTTTCTACAAAGTTGAAATTCTTAATTAACTGGCTACTTGTAATTCTTAGATTTTTAGTATATTGGTTGTCATCTTGAATTTCTAATGACATTTTTTATAAATTTCAGATTTAGAAGGTGTTTTTTAACTTTTAAAGGTTTAGGGTGTCTTTTGCAAATTTCAAAAATTTAAGGGGTTGTTTGTGATCTTAGATTTTTAATTTATACTATACGTAGGTTTGAAATTTTCAGGTTTTTCTGTAAGTTTTGAATTTTATAGGGTGTTTTTCTTACTTTTGAAAGTTTTAGGGTGTTTTTTTATAAATTTTAAAAAAATTTCGGGAGTTGCTTGTAATTCTTAGATTCTTCTATGTACTGTGCTTGGTTTGAAATTTTTAGTTTTTTTTTTTAATTTTGATTTTTTAGGTCTTTCTTGTAACTTATAAAAATTTCGGGGTGTTTACTGTAAATCCCAAAAAAAATTAGTGAGCTACTTATAATGCTTGAAATTTTAGTGTTATTTGCATGTTTTGATATAACCAGAGGTATAACCAGAGGTGACTATTTTTGGATTTTATTGGTAATTTGGAGCTTAGATCCAAAATCCAAATCCGCTACTTTTATTGGCGTGCGATTTTCAGAGAAGATATTTGTCTGTTTTACTTTATGGAATTTATTAGAAAAACGATACAGGCACACCCTCAGGCACACCACCAACCACACCCCCTCTCTATCTACAGTGCAGGGGGCATCACATCAGATTTTTTTAAAAAATCTGATGTGAGGCGCCTGCACTGTAGATAGAGAGGGGGTGTGGTTGGTGATGTGCCTGTAGCGCCTCCCAATTTATTATGCCTCAGTGTAAATATTATCGATTGTTTTCTTTGTCTTCTTCTAATCTTGCTCACTGCTATAGCTTTGAGCACTTGTTTTATGTGGGTTTTGCTTGGTCGTTTTTTTTTATAGAAAGGCATTATTTAATTTGTCAATATTATGAGAAATTTTTCAAAGAAGAAGAAGAAGAAGAAGAAGAAGGTGATAAACAATAAAACGATTAAAAAACAAAATGGACCGAATTGTTTAAGAAAAACACTAGAGGCACACCCTTGGGCACACTCTCAGCCACACCCCCTCACGTGCTACAGTGCAGAGGGCCCCACATGGGATTTTTTAAAAATACCATGTGGGGCCCTCTGCACTGTAGCAAGTAAGGGGGTGTGGCTGAGAGTGTGCCCAAGGACGTGCCTCTAGTGCCTCCCATTGTTTAATCATATCTTTACTTTATTTGATCCGTTTAATTTGTCTTACTCGCCAAAAAAACAAAGGTCCTAAAGGCAGACGTAAGGAAGCATTAGCAGAGGCCCGAAAAGAAAGGAAGCCAAAAAAAAATATAGGTACTTCATTAGTTACAAGCTAAAGCTGGAATCACCAGAAAGTAAAAAATGGAGAGGCGACCAGTAGGGAGAACACGAGATTTGTAGAGTCAAGGTGTTCTCCTGTCGTCAATCTTATTAACCCTAAATCAAAAGCAAACCCAAATCTTATAAGTTGAAGCTGAATGGAGCAAACAGAATCTCTTAATTATGAGTTGGAGCTGACAAGGAGTGCATATACACAACAAAACCAGAAAACCAGCTGTCGGTTATCCGCTATCCCGTCCTTAAAAAGCTAAAAGCTGGAATCACCAGGAAGTCAAGGTGTTCTCCTGGACGTGCCCCCCACGTGAGCAATTCTCACTTTGAATGATACTAGCCATATATATAATTAATTCTAAGCAATTACGTATGGGATAGCTTGTCTTTTCCTAAAGGCGACAAACATTTCTTTTTTCTTTTTCTTTCCGATATTTTCTACCTCCTGTATACTGTAGGCGTCAAAAAATGCTTACAGACATTCAAACACCACTCAAGACGATATAGAAGAATAATATACACGTCATCAAGCAACATATGGCGGCGCGGCAGGACATGGTGCCGCGGCTATGGCGCGGCAGACCAAGGTGCCGCGGCTAAGGCGCGGCAGACCAAGGTACCGCGGCTAAGGCGCGGCAGCCTATGGTGTCGCGGCTTAACCGCTGCAACCTATGGTGCCGCGGCAGTTAAAGCAGGATGCTACAGCAGTTATAATACAGTTATCTGATGATTATTTAAAGTCCACGTGGCGGAGTATCAGAAATAGAACGTGTGCTGATGTGGAAAAGCAGTTAAACCACGAAAAAGGTGGTTAAAGGTCGTGGGAGAACTGTTTCAAACACGTATGAACGTGGGTGTAACTGCCCCTTTAGCCGCGGCAGTGTCGACTGCCGCGCTCTTTGGCCGCGACAGTGTCGACTGTCGCGCCCTTTAGCCGCGACAGCATCAGCTGCCGCGCCTAAAGAGACAGTTATTGACCGGCTATTTCTTCAGTTATCGTCTAAGGAGGCTATAAATACCCCCCTATGGTCATCATGGACAAGGGCTGAGCATTTCCAAAGCAGATTAGAGCAGAGAGCCTTGAGTTTTGGTGAATTAGAGCAAGAGAGAGAGTCTTTCTTCTTCACAAACATCCTCAAGAAGCTTTTGGCCATTCCTAGAGATCTAAGCTCAGACTTGATCTTTGGAAGAGTGAACATCTTACATCGATAAGATATTCGCTTCAAATTCTTACTTCGATAAACGAAGGAAGAATCATTAAACCCCTCACGGTTCAATCAGAATCTGTGATTTGGTGGTCCACGAGTCAAAGCGCTCCCGGCACAGGCAAAGATCCCACGCAAGCAGCGATCCAAACAACGGTCCTGCGTTTGTTTCTCAAGAGTTGTAATTTTCCTTTTGTTGTGTAAAAGAAGTCTTATAAAAAGACTATCTCTTTTGAATTTGTTGTAATCGACCGAAGATATAATGAATTCCATAACAAAACCAACTTTTGACGAAAACATCCCGGCACAGGCAAAGATCCCACGCAAGCAGCGATCCAAACAACGATCCTGCGTTTGTTTCTAAAAAGTTGTAATTTTTCTTTTGTTGTGTAAAAGAAGTCTTATAAAAAGGCTATTTCTTTTGAATTTGTTGTAATCGACCGAAGATATAATGAATTCCATAACAAAACCAACTTTTGACGCAAACAAACTAGCGACCACAGTGGGAGCCAACAGTCTCGCTGCTGAGACCGTCGTGTCGCAGCCAATCATCAAGATCCCGGTTGAATCCATGGTCGAATACGAATTCGACCAAACCAAGTTTGAGGAATATCTCTCATCATCCTCTTCAAGATCTTCATTGTCTCGCAAGTATAAGAGGATCTCACAATTGAGGAAGACTTACATGCCAAAGAAGGCACAAAATGAAGACTCTCGCCTGATTGTTGCTGAGGATTTTACTCGCAACACCTCTGCTCACAATGACTCTTATCTAGTTAAAGAGTCATCGAATCAAAGCCCGCCGGCATTGACGAAAAGAGCTCGTCAGAGACAACGCCAACGCCGAATGCGACGCCTTATTCAAAAAAGAAATAAGATAACAGAAAGGAGATGAAGATGAAACTTTACCCCTTTCATCAACTGGAAGATCCTGAGTAAACTTCTCCTCAAATAACGGAGAAAGTTGGCGTTCCCGATGAGCCGTCTTTTTAATCCTCTTCGAGGCACGAGAATCTCGAGGAACCTCGGAGCTTTCATGTCGAAACTTGGTACGTAATTCGGTTCCTTGAGTCGGCTGAGGTTGAACCTCAGAAGGAGCAGTAAGCCGAGATCTTTTCCTGTTAATAAGCGGGGCAACCTCTTCTTCCTCTTCTTCTGCCTCTCCCTCCTGAGAAAGCCATCTCAAGGTCATCTTGTTGGAGGACGACAGGGGAATGTTCTTTTCCTTCATTTGTATACCTTTTGAAGGAGCACCGGGTAATTTGGGCGAAGAAGCTCGACGAGTCCTGTGAGCCACGGGAGACAAAGGTACATCACCCTCTGCGTCGCCTCGGGTCTCATCCTCTTCGCTGGATGTCTCGAAGTCGTCGCTCTCTTCGGAATCAGCTACCTGTTTTCCTTTACGAGAAGACGTAGCGGGCTCCTTTCCTTTTTTTGAT